TTACTTTTATTTTTTAACATTTGTCTATACAGCCCTCCCTCCTGTCACTCTATGCATGTATAATCCCTGTCTGTTCTCTCTTCCTGCATAATGGCCCAGCCTTTCTGAGGTAGCTATGGTCCCCAGTGTGATCCTTTACTAAAATGGGGCCTGAATGAAGATGGAACACAAATTATCTGGAAGCAAAAGAAAACTAGGCATTTGAAAATAACCCAGAAAGGAATGAATAATGAACCAGAGTGTCCTCAATGAATTACTCTAGAGAGAATTCTTTGTACACACACACACACACACACGCACGCACACACGTATGCACGCATACACACACATACAGAGAGAGAGACAGAGATGAGACAGACACACACAGACTGAGGCATACACAAAGACAGAGAGAGACATAGAGAAACAGAGAGAGAGAGAGAGGAGGAGAGATAGAGAGACACAGAGACAGAGAGAAACACAACACTCAGACTGACAGAGAGACAGACATATACACACACAGAACACAGAGATAGAGACAGACACAGAGAGTGAGAGATTGCTCAAAATGGACACCAAGGAAAAACTCGAAGCGAATCTTACTAGAAAGCCTGCCTAGGGCTTGTCAGGACAGAGAGTTGACGCTCGTAGCTCTCTAGATATGAACAGAAACAAATAGATTTTATGACTAACGGTTATGCCTTCAAACAAGCTGTTTTGGAATACAAGGTACTTTGAGGAGTTGATGTCTGTTCATAATTCATGTTCATTGTTCCTCTAAGTAAAATATGTGTTTCCCTTTAGTTATTCTGTGAGGAATTGTACCTTAAAGGCAAGAGGACATTTTTGATAATGCACATCTTAAGACTTTTCATTAAAGTACCAAATTTAAATTCTACCTTTTTGTGCACTCTGACATTTTTTTGTCTGGCATTTTCATTAATTTTGCGACATACATAAATGTAGCTGAAATGTTAACTGATCAATACTTTGTCTCTCTCATGTAGCACTAGCGCTCCATTCCCCAAGGACCACACAGCAGAACAGAAATTAAATGTGTAAAATATCAAATGTTAATGTTAAACACAGTGGCACTTACTGTATAATGACAGAAAAGGCTAAAACAATTCCAAATGGACAGATGGTACCACAAATTATCTACAATCACATTTAAAGATTAAAGTTTGTCCTGTAAAACAATTCTTTGACGCACACTGAAGTGTGTCCTTTTACTGATAGCTCAGTTGTCCAATTATTTTTGTGCTCATTACAGTGAGAAATGACAGCACTGAAGAGAGAGACTGTGCACTTGCTCTCGCTCTCTCTTTTTCTTTCTCCATTTTACACCCACTGACATCCACAAGAACACAAATGTCTGGTCAAGAGCCTGATGAAAATTAGCCCAATTTATGACATTTCCAGGTCCTTTCCAAGGACGAGCAGTGGCTTCTCACTGCACACAGGAGCGTTCGCTCTCAGACAAACAATATTCATCACAGAATTTAAAGATCTAATTCATAGACTCAAAAACAGGGCCATTCCCCAAATATGCTTGCTTTTCTTTTGCCATGCCCTGCCCAGCAGATTTCAGCCTAAACTGTCATGGGCTGCCTGCGAACTCTCCCACAGGACACAGGTAGTACTGTGGAGGCTGCAATCACTCTGCCCATTTCTACAATCACTGATTCTGAGATGGAAAAATGATTGCTTTTCCAATTTGACTTCATTATTCTGTGTTTATTTTTGAAGAATAAATTAGAAAAGAAAACCCAAATAAAATAGAAAAAAATCATTTAAACATTGTAAAGTTCCTGATCTGGACCTAAAAACGAAGCCACAAAATGATTCAAATGCATCTTCTCCATGAGGCGGCTGCTGTTTGGAAAAATTGGACCAAATGGAACCAGTATTGTAATGATAGACCCATGCTCCAGCAACAGGGCATGATGGGGGCAATGTGTCTATAACAACGGGTGTTGTTCATACTAACCACTGGAAATCAGTTCTTTCCAATAAACTGGCCTAAAAATGCTCTCATTACGCAATAACAATTTTGAAGCATTTCATTTTTAAATACCTCATTTAATATCTATAAGGGATAAAAATCATAAAAAAGATTTTTTCTGAATTATGATATTAAAATTATAAGGTATATATTTAAAAGGCTCCTGTAGAAAAGAAAATATATTCTGTGGCATAGGGCAAGTACTTGACTTTTCTGTGCCTCAGTTTCTTCCTCTGTATACCAGGAAAATAATAGTATCTAACTTATGAAATTGTTGGAAATATTAAATTAATCAACATAAGAGAATTTCTATGTATATATGTGAAA